ACATGTAAGAAAGATGTAGAAGATGATTTTGAGTAGAATAGCTTATTACGATTTCTCTTTACTATCATTGTTGTGTTGTAATAGTCATGCAATAGTCGTGATTTTGGTGTGGTCTTGGCACCGTGAGCCACTCGCTATACTGAGCCACTCGCTATACAGATACGTTATATAATTACCAAAGCGTAAAACTTGAGTTCCAGCCCACATAGGAAACCTAAATATGCTTACGATAAGCTCTAGCAAACTTACTAGAACACACTAGCCTGTTTAGGCAACGGAACAACCTCTAATAGGTCCATATACCGTGAGCACGTTGTTTGGTTAGCCCAAGCCGAGTTGTATTCGTCTGTACAAGATATCGGTAGAGTATCAACCAGTCACACATTTCTTATCATTGGCTAAATGCCCTTAAGTAAAGTTTGTGAGAGACGGTAGATATGTTAATGCTTACAGAAGACGGCAGAAGAATCAGCGCTTGTAAGAGATGACAGAAAGATAGGATTTCGAGAACATCATAAAGAAAGTATAGCTTACAGGCGACGGCAGAATAATCAGAATTTACGTAAGACAGGAAATCGAACACGATTTTAGCTACAGAAGTGTAATGATAAATAGAGTTTTTCTACTATGTAAATAGTCGTCTACTACGTATCCTAAAGAAAGTATTAAGTGATATAATTCTGCTACCTATAATTCTATTATCAAGGACCTCCCACCTAAGCGCATTCTGCATCTCTTATCTCCAAAGATGCATCTTCTCCGCTTCTTTAGTGTGGCTGCTGTCACAGCCTCTATGGCATTGGCTCTGCCTGCTGAAATCCCTCAAGTTGCAACCTCGGAGCTTCAAATTGTACCAGCTGCTGAAGCCTTGGCCAATCTACCTCCCGCGGATGATGTTTTTGTGCGCAATACCCCTGGGGACGTCTCTACGAAGAGCTCTAGCTACGAATCTGAGTCTAAAGCTCTTGCAATCTGTGCTAGCCCTACCCGCAAAAACATTTTCACGATTACTCTCCGCAGTACTCGTGCTATCTTTAATGGCGCCATTAATTGGGCTATCAAAGCATACCTGGATAGTCAAAACGGCCCCAGCGCTTTCCATATGACTCCCTTGGAGTCCCACTACTAGAGACGCTACTGCGATTGTGTTAGGCTACGAGTATAAAAAGAATTTCCTTGGGACGGACATCACTCGCGTTACTGCGTCGGTTCAATTTATCTTCAAGGCAGCCTCTGGCACTATTTACACATTTCTCGCCACTATTGTGTACGGCATTGACACAACGCAAGGTTTTTATTTAAAAAATGTTGAACTGTTCGACATCACGAGCGCTGCTCAAAAGTTACCTGGGGCGGCCAAAGCGACTAAACTCCTATTCGGGCAATTTTACGATGACTACAAGGAACTATAGATATACTTCGGAGAGGTGGCACAGTGGGTTCGCTTTCAGGATCTCAAAATTTCTCTTTCCCCGATGCCAAGGAATCCGCAAGGCCGAAAGTTTAAATTTGTCCCTCTCCACTTCCAAAAAGTAATATCCAGAATATTAGAGCCTAGTTTAGTATTGAACTAAAGTTTTCTTTCAATATACATATTGCCAGGAAGGAGTTTTTCAAGTTTCAGTGCCGTAGAAGCTTTCTTGTCATCTTCTCCTTATTATGACTGCTGCACTAATTTTAGAGATAAGAATACAGTGTATCTAGATGCTCCAGAGCAGACTTGGGATCGATCAAATCAATCAACCTGAGGGATCATTTTCGATTTAGTTGGTCCTCAAGGACCTCTGCAATTGAATTGAATTGAATTGATTAATCCATATTTTAGTAGTTATTGATTGCCGTTTGATTGATCTGATTCAGAGTTTTCTCATATAGTAATATCTCATTAGATGAAGCTATCTTGGTGGTGAGAAAGCTTCGTCTAATATGCAGTGCACGTGACTAAATCTATCAATTAAATAAATAAATACAGACCTCTAAAACTTGATGAATTGATCCTCCAGTTCCTGCGTTTTTGAATTGATTGAATTGAACCAATCAATCGAGAATCGATCAAATGAATCAACAGATTGATTGATTTCATGTACGCTTCAGAGATAAACCATGTATAAGCCAATGCAACCCCCTTGATAATCCCATACGCTTAAGTACCTCTTCAAAGAGTCGTCTCGATTTACTTGAACTGATGTATTCTTGTGCCCATCTATGAAACACCTCCCACCTATCCTATCCTACCCTGCCCTGGATTACCCACTGGGCAACATTGATACTAAATCAATTGTTTAGGAGCTTAAGAACTAACATAGAATATCATACCGTAACATAGCATGTACAAGAATGAACGTCTGAGTCTTCCCCTAGTTGGATGTCTTCGACCTTCTGTCCAGGATTACAGACGGGTGTTAATCCTGACCCATCGCAGCCAAGGGTTTCTCCTTGGGGTACATCGCATGGATGACTGATTCTGGAATACGGTCTATTACAGACGCTCCTCCTGGACTCTACAACATAGGCATGCTGAAGGATAGTTCCAAATACAAAAAGAAGATATCGTGAGTGTACCATCTTGGGAAAATTCTTAGTAAATAGAAACGTGATGAAAGATGAATCTGTACAGAACTAGACAAGTAAGTACCAGTTTATATAGAAAATACACCTGTGGTACAAGTAGTGGCATGGACGGTAAGACGGAAGGCCCCAGTGATGGTATTTGGTCTGTGTATTATCTTCTCAAGGTCTCGATCCATCCTTTCGTTATGCAGAAGCCCGTCGAGAGTATCTTTCTAGTTAGTAAGTAAGCAATAATATGCGCCACATTCTAAATTAGGAAACGCCTCTAAGCTTACATGGCTGTACTCGGCATAGTACGGCTCGCAGGGAGAGATAGATTGACGAGAATACAGGATCTATTACTATAGACTTATTGGAAAGGGCTCTCATGATTTAGGGAAGCAGAGCGTAGTTAGCAGGATGCAACTCGAAGAGCGGGATAAAATCGGATGTTGCTTTGCCTGGTTTCGCTGGTTGCAATCAAGAATGTTGTGGCATTTTTAACTTTAGACTATGACAGTATGTAGATGGGTATACGGCACAGTACGAGATTAGTGGGTATGACGTAAGATGGACGTGCGACATATAGGTATGAGACGCCACAAGACGGGGGAGTAATCGCAGTATGGAGCCCAGATCGCATGCTTTGAGTGGTAATCGCGAAAGCAGCCCGGCCCAATAACCCTCCAAGTAAGCTACCAGGATCTACGAATCGATAACACTGAAATGGATAAGTCTTCAACGGGAGTTGCTTATTTTCTAGACCATCCAATTTAAAGTTATGATGGAAATTGTGCTAGGAATTAGCTAGTTTGTACTTGTTCTATACCTACGTACACAACCTGAGACTTCCTTAGTAAGATTCTCTTTCCCCCCATCATCATCATCATCATCATCACTCAAAATCACGCCTGAAACCCCTTCTCAAACCCCCTCAACCACACACCGGCCGCATACGCGCCCGGATCGGGAATCTTCGACCTATCACTCCCATCCTCGGCAATATACGTGGCGCGCCCAAACTTGGCCTTCATATCCTTTGTCCCATCGGCCTTGTCCTCCGCAACCTGCACACTCTTTGCAAAGTCCTTGGTCTCAGCCAACGTATTGATGAACGGGATGAGGACATCCATGACCGTTCTGTCGCCCTCTCTCGCACTAGTGTAGTTCTTCAGATTCTCAAGCGCGGTGAGCGCGGAAGAAGCAAACGTGGATATGTCGAGAGGAGCGTTTTGTGAGAGTGTGGCTGTGGCGAGCGCGTTGGTAAAGGCGGTGACGAGGATGGAGAGGATGGCGCCGAGGGAGCCGCCTACGTCCTCGACGTTTTCACCGATGCTTTCTAGGAGTGCTAGGATGGGCGGTGGGTTTTGCTCGACGGCTTCGATGTTGGCGAGGATGCTCTTGCATACGCCTGCTACGGCTTCGCCGCAGTCGCCGTCGCCCATTTGGAGATCGTACTGGGTGATTTTGGGCTCGGCAGCTAAGGCGGCTTTGCATGCTGTTCGCAGGGCGGGGATGAGAGAAGCTGGGGTTGCAGGACCTTTGTGGAGTGTTGACTTTTCAGACAGCGCGGCATTGGCCTTGTTACGTAGTTCTTCCGTCTCCTTATTGATGTTGACTGGCTTGAAGCCATTCTTCGGCCATGCGGGAGCGTTGGTCGGGGCATCAAGCAGAGCAATGATTTCTTCGTCTTTGACGCCCATGGATTTGGCCATGCCGCTCATGTTGCCCAGTGTTATGCTGAAGCCTTGGGCGTTGAGCGATGTCTCGAGCACACCTGCGTAAATGCGTGTTGGCTCGATGCTCCAGTCTCGTTTTAATGCTACGAGGGCTAAATTCACCATGGCATCAAATTCCAGGTTTGACAGGCCGCCGAAGTTGTTGACGAGCATTACCACGTTGTCGCCGGGGTTGAACTTGACGAAGGCGCGATCGGAGTCTGAGGGGTCCAGGAGATACTTGAGCATCTCCTTGATAACGTCTTCTGGACCAGGCATCGGATGTATCGTTCGCAGGCCCTAGATCCCGATAAGTATGGTTTCTTTTTTTGGGGAAAGAGCAAGATGAACTCTCTCCACATACCGGTTCATTGTGAATGCCCATACCCACAACACAGGCATTGTCCTGCACACTCTCAAACGCCTCTCTTCCAGGGACATGGCAATGATCCAAGCTCGTTCCAATCGTAACCAGCTGCTCATTACCCAGCTCACCCATCTTCCTACACCGCTCAAATGCCCAGCCCTGTAGTGATGCACCGCCGATCAGCTTGATGACGAGCAAGTTGCCCGCCAGTCCTCTTCGTCCTACTTTCCCACTCTGAGCACGACCCAGCGCTGCGTCTTCCGCCATACAAACGACATCGACTTTGTACCCTAGCGCCTGGCCCTTTTCCCTCGCCAGCCCAAAATGCAGCATGTCGCCCGTGTAATTTGTGATACAGAGTATTATGCCCTCTGTACTGGGTACGTTTCGCATACCAGCCATGACTTGCTTCGTACTCGGCGACGCAAAAATATCTCCACACACAGCAGCCGACAACATGCCATCGCCCACGAAACCCGACCACGCCGGCTCGTGGCCCGAACCGCCTCCAGACACGATGCTGACTTCATTGGGTCTGTGGGATAAGTTGTAGACTACGCGGTTGGCCTCGTCGAGCGCCATGTGCTTGTTTCGTGCGCAGAGCGAGCGCAGCGTGTGCAGCACGACGCCCTCTGGATTGGGAAAAAAGTGTTTCCGCGACATGATTTTGGATTGTAATCGTGTGAGTTGGAATCGATAAAGTCGACTTTCTTGCGTCAAGTTTCTACAAGCACTCTTATTAGTATTGCAATTCATCCCATATTATCCGCCAATCGTACCGGTATTCTCCCAGGAAAGCGGCCCTTCTGTACGTTAACTTACATGTGTGTACACCTAGACCTCTTCACAATCCTGCACTAAGAAATTTCCCCGGATACAGCGTCTTGATAAAACCCCCCAAGTCTTGAATTAGAAAGTTGTAAAAAAAAGCTGAATATAATTCGTTCCCTCCCCCCCCCCTCATTCCGGGAGCCGTCCACAGCTTTATAAACCCTCTTTCCCCGCTCCTCACCCCCCACCCCCACGACCTACCAACCCCGCGCCCACCTCGCCGCATTTATTTGGACAATCTACGGCACAATCATCAAAAGCTTCTACGGCTATTCACAAAAAAGGCCCGCATCCCCAAAAGAATATCCCGGCCCAACAACAGTATTGAGAATGCCCAATACGTAAAAAAAGGTATACTGTTTTCAGGCTAAGGTGGTTGCATGTGGTTTGGGAGCTTGGTTTGCGCCGGGATTACCGGTTTGGGAAGTGCCGGAAATTGGTATAGTACTAGATAGGTGGCTTGCAGGGTCGGTCTGGGCTCCGAGGTGGACCGGAGGGGAATTGCGGCTTGTGCTCTTATGACATCGTTCGATGGTCGGAGTTATCTTTTGTGGATATTAACGGCATCTTGGATATTTGGAGACTAGAGTAGCTGATGGACTGATCGTGTGGTAGTATATTCCTGTGCCTATGCATGTGGTCTTGCACAGCACAGCATCTTACACGGAAACTTGTTTGCTCTGTTTCTGATACCGTGTACCTCGAATGTACATCTGCCAGGCCCATACTCCTAACATACCGATATCTATGTGTCAACCTTTCTACCGCCCACAACTGACTAGCCCAAGTACACAACAAGCGTCCCAAAGAGACCTCAAACAGAGCGGGAGCAAAGCAATTTCAGCCACGATCTCCTAATCAAACATGATCTTCTTGCCCTTCAACAGTGTGCCTCCTAGCAGCTTGCCAACTGCGTATCCAATATAAGCGCCCGTAACAATGGTAACTGGCCACTTCTGCCATTCGCGGTCCCTGCACATGATTAGTCTTGTGGCTTCACAAGTCTCATCTCGATCCAATTTCTGGTTGAGAAAGTCAGTCAAGGGGGAACTCACCAGTCCAAGGGAATAGGTACAGCGCCTATCCAAGCACCAAGAACCGTGCCAATCAGCCCTCCATAGACCTCATCTATCGGCAGGAGCAGCGCAATAATCTGTCTCCATGTATCACCGTCGACACCGTGTACGTAAATCAGAGGTAGCGTGCTCAAGAGCGCCACATGGGCACCACAGAGCAGTGTGTGTGCATGGTGTGTAGACACGGGTGCACCAAAGAGGACGAGAATGGCCGTGAGAAGCGGTGTTGCGGCGAGTGCGGATAGGAGGAGAGACAAGAAAGCCGGCTGTGACAACAGGTTAGTTCTTGCCTTGGGAAAAGGCATTGCTAGCAACGCTGCCATGTTAGTACAAGACACGTACCACAATCTTCGAGTTCAACCCTTGTTCCAGCTTCGTCGGTGCCTTTCCCTTCTTCTCACCCGGCTTCTGTTTCCGCATCGAAGGCGTGCCTCCAGTAGGTGGGAGGCATACGGCTACAAAGGCTATTTGCAGCACAGCGAGCGGTGCGAGGGTGCTTAGCAGCGTGGGCACGGGGTCTGCAACCAGAGCGGGGAATTTGAGCGCGTAGACGGATAGAACGAGGATGGGGTGAATGTGCGTATATAGACGCGCGGTATCGTTCTTCAGTGGCTCAATTGGCGCGGCAGTTGAGGCCTGGTGCTTTGATGTCGCGTTTGCGTTGATGACAGTTGTGCTGGCCATGTTTGCGAATTAAATGGGCGGTAATGAATATGCAGGTTGAGAGAATCGAAGACACGTCAATTCGAGGTGGAATGCTTTTGTACTGGGCTTTGCAAGGAGCGTGGATGGCGCCTGGCCGACTGGGACGTTTGTTGGTCGGGGTAGTTGCAGGAGATCGCGGAACGGAAAGTTTCGAGATGACGCTGGTGGTGCTGCTCGCTGATTGGACGGACAACCAACTCCTGTTCAGCACCTCTATGGTTCGTACGAGACGGCACAAAACATGTGAATTGCTGTTTCCACAGCTTTACGATTTTCAATTCATCATCTAGCCATATACTCTGTTCATACCTCGTTCCTAGCGGCCATGTCCGAAACTTTTACGTAGGGCGTTACACACATTCATTCCTTGCACCATTGCTTGAACCATGTCGATACCTACTACTGCTCTCCCTTTTTCGGAACCAAGTTTCTCAATGAAAGATCATACACCACGTCCTCCACATCCTTGACACGATATTTGAGGCCATCACTGCGGCGGCGTAGGCTGTCATTCTTAAGGTTGAGGATCTGGAATCCAGCATGCAGATCCTTGACGAACTGATTGATGAGCAGCGGGCGCTCGTAATCGCCCAGAGTGACAGCATTGCGGGCAAGGCGGGTCTGTCGTTGTTAGCTATGTATTCTTGTTCATTCGTAATGCATGTGAGGCGACGTACAAGCTCTTCGACAAGCGTCATAAGGGCATGCAGATACTCCTCAAGTGAGAGGTGGAACTCATCGCGCTCCTTGAGGTTGACTGGGACTGTTTGAAAGTTAGTAGTGCGTATGTGATGTATTTTTTCTGCACGTACTCTTGAAGATTTCACCGAGCTCCTCAATGGTTAAGAGTCGCCCGCATTGTACCGCACCGCCCTCATACTTGTAGCCGCCAAGCCAGCCCCAGAAGAGAATGCTCTCGCACTGCAAATTTGTTAGTGGTATGGGCTGAGTACTGTGTCAACCCTGAACCTACTGCGCCTTGCATCTGTCGGCTCCACATGTTGTTGAACTTGTAGTAAGGCATCTTGGACGCAGCTTGCGACAGCTTGGAAACAGTGTCAATGACATTGCCAATGGGCTCTTGGGCAGCTTTCAAGATCTCTGACACTGTATCTCAATTAGCTACCATATTGTGAGTCCTGGATGCTGCGACTGACACTCGCTGACAGGCGTGGAATGGGCTCTTGACAGCACGAAGGAGACATTGCGGTCTGCAAGAAGTAAGAAAATGTCTAAAATTCTGAGTGAATACACTCACTGTGTTTCTCAAGCGCCTGGATGATGTCGCGCAGCTCCTGTCGCGTTGTGAGTACGATGTCACGTGCAGCTCTGGCGAACTGCCACTTACATCTCGAACCGCGGAGTCCTCGTCTATGCGCGCTTGAAGGTCCTGGAAGACGGCCGGGTTGACCATGCCTGATTGCGATGCCATCTTGCCAAATTTCGGGGGTTTGAAGAGGTGTTCGAGTGACGTTTGAAATTGTGGTAGTATCTGGGTAAGTAGGTCAATGTTGGTTTGGGAAACAAACCTCGCCACGAAAATTTGGCGTCACACGCTGCTCCCTGCGCAACTTCACTTTTTCACCGATGCAGCCACATACAGTACATTGGATATGCGATATATCGATTTCAAGATTTGCATGTATTCATTGTAATTTACTATACAAATCGATCAATTGGATGGCTTTACGTACCGTGTCTTTGTCAACACACGCTTTGTGATTGATACCGAGATAGTAATAATGGTCTTCTGAATATCTTACGGCATGTCTGGATCTTGTTGAATATTGATTTCTACCATGAGATTGCCCAAAAATCAACCCGTGTTTTCCTTTGTCCCTTTGTTATTTGTTTTACTATCTACAGCTTTCTAGATCTTTCCTATCTGTAATATTACTTCGTGTAAATATTTGGGAAGTTCTGAGCTTCTAGACAGCCATCAACTCATTCATCTTTCGTTTCAATAGATCTGCCACAAGGGACCTGATTATTATATGGTACTTCCCTCTAAAATTGCGAGAGAGTATTCATGTGCGGAAAGATGAACTCGCAAAGCGAACGACCTTGTATATTCTTATACCACAGTAACGTCGCCGCCGGTCTTCCATCCACTTGTGATGATACACCCGATAATCGCACACCACTTGATTACTTAGGTACTTATAATAAGACAATGTATTATATCCGTACCATATACCGCCTCACCCCAGCAAAACAATTTGCCAATACTACCCTTATATCTCCAAATTACGCATCCCCCAATTGCCCATCCTCTCGCCCTCCTGTTCACCTCTCTATCTCCCCGTATTCCTCCCGCGCAATATCCTATCACGCATCATTATACTTCTTACCTTCAACTTGACAAGGCGCCGCTTCTTCCTCTCCGCATCGGCTACCTTCGTACTCTCGAGATCCATCTCCGGTAACTCCTGCTCGCCCGCAGTACCGCGCAAGATGGCTCCAGCACGCTCCCTCGACCTGAACTCGCTACTCAAGAAAGCTACTTCCTCGCAGAAGAAGCAGAAACTCATGACGAACGAAGAATCTTCTACCTTTCACAGGTCGCGCCCCTCGATGAGTGTGGCGTTGTTGTATAGGAGGCTAGTAACCCAGTCGTCCTTTTCCTGCTTGATGTCTATGCGTAGCTTAGACAGTGCGGGATAGGTCGCCGGCTCTCGAATGACGCCTTCATGAGTGTTCTTGACAATTGGTGTCTGGGTTGTCGCGGCCTGGGTTTCAGACGACTGGGCTTTCTGTTCTGCTCGCCAGATGCGTGGGCCGACGACGTAGGAGAAGAGTGGACTATGAAGTAGGAAACAGATTCTATCTAGTGCGAGGGTCAGATATATTCGAGAAGTGTTTCTGTGACACCTACCGATAAGCTCCTCGTGATAGTAGGTTGGGAGATTTTGTGGCAGCTTGTCAAGTAACTCTTGTATGTGACTTCGTAACGTGATCTCTTTCGCTACGATCGGGGAGGGTGGTGACGTTTCGAATCCGAGTTTCACATGGCTCTTCTTCATGCGTTTCATCGTGGAACGATTCATAGTGTTTTGGTAATAGTATTACTCTTGTCTGAAACTTATGTACCAAAGGTATATTGAACCCTGGAGGTTGGAAGTTGCTAACAAGATTTGAGCGTTGAGTGTGAGAATGGGTTCTCAAATGTCTAAAGCTCTACTATAGTGTTCTATTACCGTTGCATTGGATTCGTCTTCGCTGCAGGCGGCAGGTCCCCGTGAAGTGAAGGTGAATGTGTTATCACATGGCAACAGCGTTTCTATAGGGCTGTTGTCAGTACAACCATGTTTGTTCATTCGAGTTGTTGGTCAATCTCACCACGAGGATAGCACAAAATACCCCTACATTCACGAAATGTCTCTCCAAATCTTGATATCATCACGCATACCTGACGATGCGTGAGAAATATGCAGTAGCCTTGTTCTTCATTCATTACATTTCTCATCATGATGATAATGTTTCTGGCCGCTTCAAGCATAGCCTAATTAGCAGAACGATTCCAAGGAATCCGTGAGATAATATCCGCATGTAATCTGTCAGCTGCCCTGTCGAAACCTGTCCTGCACAGCGCCATCGCTTCATGATGGATGATCGGATCTTGGCCTTCACGCTCACATAGATCACCCCTAAAAATGACTCGAACATCGCCATAACTCGGATGTACCGCTAGACACATGTAATGATATATGCCTTCGTGCCCGATGTAAACGGAAATTTGTGTGAGTGAAGAAAGGCCGTGTGGACCAAAGTCACCATATTGACCACTGCGAATGACAACGTTGGCCATGCTCTCTATATTTTCCTGTCAGCTAGCGAAATATAAGGTAAGTGAAGAATATGCTGTCTTACTAGCAAGATGAACCAGAGCTTCACGATTTTGAATCCACCGTGTGGGTAAGTTGTCTGCGAGGAGGAAATAGATGCGATCAAAGACCATATCACGGGTAATGCGAATATGTGATTCGTGATAAACTCGAGGGGCGCGTGGATATGGTCTTGATGGCTGGGAAGCTATACCTGGCGTATGGCCTGTAGGTGAGTGCTGCTTGTCAGGGCTGGGTGGCATCGTGGTGATGAGCAGTGGGTTCTCTGACCTGAACTTCTTCAAGTTTTCTAATGCTTTATTGGATGCTTGAGAAAGGTCTTGCGGATTTGGACGCCCGGTCATTTTGGCGAGTAGCTATACCGAGGGTGTTCTTCTCTAGGGTGGATAGTCAGGTATCTTGGAATTTTCAATCAATTGTATAAGGTTGGATAGGAACAAGCAGTAGAATCGAGGCCTGTTCATGACTGCTAAATAGTCGTATGATAGTCAAGGTGACTGGAAGTAGACTTGCAACAATTTGGTGTGACTGAACAGGCAACAAGGCACTTGTGACTAGATATTATTGAACACGCTTCTCTATTGATAGCTAATTATTGTCACGCTCTTCTATTGTCTTCTAGTGAGACAAACTTTGCTCCTCTATAGTCACCATCAGCAAATGAGAAGGGCACAGGCTGTACGAGAAAGGCTATTCTTTCAGCCATACATATAGCCAGTACAAGTAGAAAACAGAAACTAAGTCACTCCGGTTGCAATGTGTGAATTCAGCCCTACGATACATTTGGCGATGTGTGGATGGTGTCGTTGTTTTTTTCCAGGTGGGTCCCCGCGTCCGAAATAGCTCTGCGCTAGTCCCGGATCGGCATCGCACACACGTGCACGCGCCCTTGGTGGAGCGCGGGAAGCATCAACAGGGCACTGGGCATTCACTCCTGACAACCGCCCCCGTCGCAAATCTGACCCCCGTCGCATCCCCACAGCGACTGCTCTCGCTTCTGTTTACTGCGGACCTTCACTCGTTAGTCGTCTGCACCTCCGCTCGCTTCCGATATACGTGTTGCGCACGACGACTGTGACTGCGACTTCACCACCTCCACCGCTTGGCACTCTCGAGCTCCGGCATCCCCGTCCTGCGACAATGGGCTTCGGCGACTTCCAGACGATATGCGAAAAGGCGCCGATACCCCTCTGCGCTGCTGTGGGCCATCAGGATATCAGCAATGGCGTGGGCATCCAGACACGCTGCTATGCCAGGACTATTGAGATCGCCAACACGCTCATCTTCGAGGCGGCTAACGACTTTATGCACATCCTGGCCCTGGTCATGACCGTCGTAATGATCATACACGTGCGCTCCAAATTCACCGCTGTCGGTACGTCGGCGCAAGATCAGCATTATGACCAAGAGCACCTTTGCTAACGTATACCAGGGCGCAAGGAAATCACGACCTTCTTCTACATCTACTTCCTCCTGACCATCATCTCTCTCGTCCTCGATGCAGGCGTCACTGCGCCCGGTTCCGCTACCTACCCGTATTTTGCCGCCGCCCAGAATGGCCTCACGTCCGCCTTGTGTACTTGCCTGTTGATTAATGGCTTTGTCGGTTTCCAGCTTTATGAAGACGGCACCACCCTTTCTGTCTGGCTGCTGCGGCTCAGCTCCCTCGCCATGTTCATCGTCGGTGGCGCGGTCAATCTCTTGACTTTCAAAGGCTGGGCCGGACTGAGCCCCATGAACCCTATTGGCATCTTTATCGTCACCTACCTCGTCAATGCCATCTGTCTGTTCATTTACGCAGTCAGCCAGATCATTCTCGTAATGGGAACTTTGGAGGACCGCTGGCCGCTGGGTGACATCCTGTTTGGCATTTTCTTCTTCGTCATTGGCCAAGTGATCCTCTATGTCTTCAGTGACACCATTTGCGAAGGCGTACAACATTACATTGATGGTCTCTTCTTCACTACCATCTGCAATCTTTTGGCTGTCATGATGGTTTACAAGGTGTGTGGTTTACACCGTCATTTGCCTATGCACCTGCTAATATTTCGACAGTATTGGGACTCTATTACACGCGAAGATCTCGAATTCTCCGTCGGTGTCAAGCAGCACAACTGGGAGATCAAAGAACCATACCCAGAAGACGAAAGGCGAGGCACCATGTACCAAGACTCCGACTATACCCCATCGCTTTACCAGCAACCTCATGGGCGCAACTCACATTACTCTGCTGTGGGCCATTAAGCCTATGCAATGACCCATTGTGTTTTTACCCTCGGACGATCTATATTTTGCATTGATCCCTATTATCCCTGCGCATGAAGCGGAGTTGGTGGCGTATAATTGCTTCGGTAAAAGCAAAACTAACTTATCAACACTCCTGTAGCATTGTTGTATTTGCACTAGCGACTAATTGGCACGGCACAGGAGGACTGGGTTGGACGACGTTGACAATGTGCTCCTACCCAGACGGAACACGATATGACTAGCACCTACGTAGATAGTAATATGAATACTCGAAATACATAGTATATGATGCTTCCCCGAGCTTTCGCCGCCTTTGTGACCGTTAGCCGTTCTTCCGACGGTAAACTAACATCGGCAATGCTCCCTGCGTAGGATCTGCACCTAAGCAGTAGCCGACGCCAAGTATAGTTATCTTGGTATTTGATAGAGAAAGCTAGTGGAAGTGTCTTCTTCCCTGACACGTACGAACAGCTGTCACAATCAGCTTTGATTCGGGTCACCTTTCGGCTTGTGCGAACGTGTGGGATACGCTAGTGGAACGACTGTCTGCTCCCCGCATCATGGCCGATGCATGTCCGGAACATACTTTCGGCATGATTACTATGACACCGCTTGTTCCCAGTGTTGAGACATATAATATACAGATGCACACGTACCATCATCGATTGTCATCGTAGATTGCGAAGCGCGCAAATGCCGTTTGTGCGTGACTGTTAATACTTACAACTCGTCTGCTCTGTTTGCTACGATCGTATTTAGCCGTTAACCCTTGAACCTTTGGCCGTCACTTTACACAACTACTATCCAGGAAATGCTGAAAACAGACGTATTGATAGCGGGATCCGGCTCTGCTGGTATCTTCGCAGCGACATGGCTTGCCATCTACGGGATCCCTTTTACAATGCTCGAGCGGCGTCCTGGACCGCTTAAGGTTGGGCAAGCCGACGGTGTGCAAGTGCGGACGGTAGAAATCTACGAATCGTTCGGAATATCGGAAGAGTTGCTACGAGAGAGTTTTCATGTTCTGGAAGTATGCTTTTGGGCGGTTGACGATGATGAAGAGGGAAAGGCACCGGGCGGCATCAAGAGAAAAGGACGAACTATTGATACGGAAAAGGGACTAAGCCACCTGCCGCATGTAATTCTGAACCAAGCGCGGATGAATGGGCTGATGCTGGGGAAGCTGGAAAGCGTGCTTCGAGAACAAGGACGATGGCAAGAGGAAGCAAGCAACGGCATCGAGTACGGATGGAGCGTCAAGAGCCTGGACATTGACGAGACCAAGATACGCGACCCAAACGCCCACTGCGTCAAGGTGACTGCTGAAAAAGACGGCAAAGAAGAAACCTGGGAAGCAAAATACGTGATAGGCTGCGACGGCGCCCACTCCACCATCCGCAAAGCCCTCGACATCCGTATGCTAGGGGACTCGTCCGACACCGTCTGGGGCGTCATGGACATCTATCCGATCACCAACTTCCCAGACATCCGCCGTAAATGCACAATTCGTAGCAACGCAGGCAGCATCGTCATTATTCCCCGCGAAGGCGGCGAGCTTGTCCGCTTCTACATCCAGCTTCCCGCTGGCGCGCGCCCCAAAGAAGTAAAATTGCTCGACCTGCAGAACCAGGCCCGCCAAATCTTCGCACCATATTCCATGGACTACGCAGGAGTATTCTGGTGGAGCGCATATAGTATCGGACAGCGTCTCGCAGCCGCCTTCCACGCCCACAACCGCGTTTTCCTCACGGGCGACGCATGCCACACGCACTCCCCCAAAGCCGGGCAAGGCATGAACGTCTCACTGCAAGACGGATACAACATCGGATGGAAACTCGGCTCCGTTCTGTCCGGCTTATCGCCGCCATCGCTGATCCCGACATATGTGTCTGAGCGCAGTAAGACAGCGGCTGATCTGATTGCGTTTGATCGGGAGCTCACAGAGTTGTTTGATAGAAAAGAAAAGTACAAAGGTGAGTTTGCAGAGTATTTTGTAAGGAGTGGGCGGTATACGGCGGGATTTACGGCACGGTATGAGGAGTCGGTTGTTACACAGCCCGGGCGGGGGGAGCAGAGCGTGGCGAAGGGGGTTACGGTGGGGATGAGGTTTCCGAGTGCGCAGGTGATACGGTTTTGTGATTGCAAGGCGGTGCAGTTGCAGAGTGTGTTGAAAAGTGATGGACGGTGGAGGGTTGTGGTGTTTGGGGGGGATCTTGGGCGAAATGAGCATCTTGCGAGGGTGCAAAAGGTAAGTCGGTTTCTTTCATTGAAGACCGAGTAGTGTTTACGTTAGATGCTAACAAGAAGAAAATAGCTTGCTGGAGCCCTGGACTCCATATCACGACGGTATACACCAGCATCTAAGTATTCCGATGCTGTTATTGAACCGTTACTTGTCATGAGTAGCAAGTACTTTGACACGCAGCAAGAAAGGATACCAGATTACTTCTGGCCTGCGACGGGCAAATGGGGGATTAGAGGTAAGAGCCATCGTCTTGTTAAGTTATTATACTCAGCAAATGTTCATGAGAGCTAACATTTATGGCTACTAGATCTTCACAAAACATTCGTTGATGATGACCACTACAATTCTGGCCATGGCCACGCGTATGAAGCGTACGGTGTGGACCTGGAAGTTGGTGCCGTGGTTATTGTGAGGCCCGATCAATGTAAGTCGCATTCATATTGGTTATGTAAGAGACACGGCGCTGACTAAGTGTAGATGTTTCAAAAGCAACCTCGTTGGATGATTTGGACGGGATCACAGAGTTCTTCGCGGGATGTATGCTCGAGCAAGTAACGAAGAAGGATGTGAGCGCGAGGCTATGAAGTGGGCTTCGAAGAGGGATGAGGTATGTGAGACTTTTTGTATTTAAACGTGGCATGACTTAACACTACTCCAAAGAGTGGCATTTCGAGCCTTTGTTCTGTATTTTATCAGCGTTGCAGACACACGAGTAATGACAGCGGGCTGAATTCCATACCCTAGAATTGACTTTGGAAAGTAGTACTCGGCTCCTCACTTTGCCTTGGCATAATCCCATATCCGTCGTGGACGGATCGGCAGTGAAGGTTTGACCAAGCTCTCACCCGGCTGAAACACCAACTAGGACGCGTACACAATTTCCGATGGTCCACTAACTACTAAAACTACTCATATCGCCAGAAAGGAACCATTCCTTCTCAGAAACGGGAAAACCCCCATCTCATTGCCAAAAACGGTGCAATACCGATCCTCCGTCCACGTGCCATCGGCATGACGCATAACCCAAACCTTGTACACTAAAGCCACTCTCGATCCAAGGCCGCCTCACGCACATCGTCGCGCCCCCCCCTTTCCCCGCCGCCCCCACAATGTCACAGGCGGGCGCGCATCCGCCGCTTAGCGCATCGATTTCGTCTCGCGCAGCAGTGACAGCAGCAGCAGCATCGCCGTCGATCAACTCGCTGCCGTTGTACCTGCGGCGCCATGTGAACCTCGGCTTCGACAACGACGACGTGACAGCACTGCTTAGCTCCATCGACTCGAGCCAAGCGCGCAATGCATCATCGCAAAGAACGACAACGACAACAACGGCGACGTCAGCAGCGAGACCGGCGCTAGCACAACTGCCTGCCGAACTTTTACTGCAGATTGTCGAACATGTGCCCGTGGACTATTTACTCGACTGGCGGCTTGTATGCAGGGGATTCCGCGATGCAATCGACGGACAAGTGCTATATCACTGTTTGCGCCGCACGCGGTTGCTGGGGTACATGGGGAGCCGGCACTCGCGGGCGATGGAGTCGCTAGACGACGACGAAGACTACGCAGCAATTCACCTTTTGGAAGCGCGGTTTGAGCGCATAGAAACAGGCGCAGGTGATGACGACGACCAGGCAACGGACAAGCCGATATGGAGCGGGAGTCACGCCGTGTTCCGCGTCGACGACGAGTGGTACCGCCAGTTCCATCGGGTGGGCGGGGCAGCAGACCGCCAGGGCAACACAATTGACGATGCGGATGCGCGATGGTCGCGCACGCTGGACCGGCTGGAGCTACGGCGCCCAGAAGAAGGATTCGGTACGTTGCGCTGGTGCATTCGGCTCGACCATGCCGTCCTGGATTTGGATTTCCCCACTGAAGCAGACCGCCTGCACTTTGATGTCCGTGTCAATCTTGCTACGCGCTGCGTACAAGTCGCGTGGAGGGATATGCTCGTTCGCTTCCTCAAGTCGGAACGGGCATTGCGCTTGATGCTGGATGAGGTGCGTTTTCTCTATTACTATATTAGAGATATACTACTCCACATTGCCTATATCAGAACCGAAACCCCAGACTTACCCCACTCCCCCCGCATTATTGAAACAATTCCCCGTATATTCAGATATTAACCAAACATACAAGAAGAAAAAAAAAGCCTTAGCTAATCTTTGAATCCCCAGAAACGCAACCACTCCCGCTTCACCTTCAGCCATGCAGAAGACTGCCTCCGCTCCCTCCGCCGCACCCGCCTCGCCGCATCCCTCAGCCCCTACAGCAAAGTCGACCGCCACATCCGCTGGTCCCTCCGCCTCCTGCACCCCCTCTTCGGCTGCCCGCCCAACGAACACACCATGACACTCGAAAACGTCGAAAACGACGCCATCCACAAGCTCCTCCTCCTCCGCCGCGCCGCCTCTCTCTCCGGCCCCCAACTCGCCTACCTCGACACCCTAGCAAAAGACTACAGAGCAATGGAACAGCAGCTGCGCAGATTGGATGATGCTTATGCAGAGTTCAAGACGTACCTCAGTGTGCCGGGTTTCCAGATGAATATACTGCTGCCCGCCATGGTGACGAATGCGGGGCATGTGCCCAGGGATCCGGTGGCGTGGACGGATGAGCTGCGCGAGAAGATTGAGTTTCAGGTGCAGAGGTGGAAGGGCCAGAGGGATGCCGTCGAGCAGGTTGGCGAGATTCTCGAGGCGAGCAATGAGGCCATGGGTGTACCGGATGATAGTTTTGATGAGCTTGGGAGTGAGTTTTGATGAGTGGGTTTTTACTTGTCTTGTGTATGAGTTTTTTTTTCTTCTTTCTTTTTTTGGTTACCTTTCGGTATGTGTGTATATATAGACCAGGTTCAACATACGTCTTTACTTTGGGAGAAAGGGCGGGTAGCTTTGAAAGTAACCCACGGAGAACAATCGACATTGACATCACATGCAAAAAAAAATACCAGTTCCATGGTTAATCCAAGTGTATTATCATTACTTTGCTTAGCCTCCCCGTCGCCAGGTGCCGAGCGCAACAAGGGAAAGTGGAAACCGCGCAAGTGCTCTTTCTTTTCAAACCACCATGCCGTAAGGGTGAGAAAAACAAACAAAAAGACGATATTCCCAGGATCTATGCATGCGATGCATGTTGGTGAACAAACGCTGAAAAGACGCCAGAGATGCGGTGCTGAGGATGAAGAAGTAGAAGTAGTAGAAGAAAACAACAGAAAAAAAAGGGAAGCATTGTCGTAAAAAAAAAGTGATTCGTTTATAGCATCAGGGCAGCGCCGAGGAAGACGGCCGATACGCCAAACACGGCAAAAGGAGCGGCCGACAGCAAAGGCGCGGCGCCGTTTGCAGGAGGAGCATCTGCGGATCCGGTAGGAGAGGTGCTGGAGCCGGCGGATCTAGAGGAGCGCGAGCTCTCGGAGCCAGAGGAAGAAGTAGCAGAAGCAAAGGATGAACTTGCGCCCGATGTCAATGAGGCGGTGCTGTTAGCGGTGCTGGTAATGCTGCCAGAAGCAGAGCTCTCGGTAGCCGAAGCGTCAGAAGAGGCCGAGCTGGTCTTGGAAGCGTCGCTCGACGACGACGAACTTGAGCTCTTGTCGAAAATGGCCTGGATGCGAATCTCGTGGCACTGGGCGCCAATCCACTCATCGTAGAGGTTTCCAAAGGCACCGCTCATGCAGCGCCACCAACGGGTGCTGCCTCCAATGGCGAGCGAGTCATTCTTGCATACAGAGAAGCCGCCAGTGTAGATTGCGCCAGCTTGGGGAGGGCCGTCAAATTGGAATTGGCGGTTAGCCACAATGGAACCTGTGCGGCCGTATTGGTCGTGCAAGATGCCGTCCTTGAGGGTGCAGAAGAGCTCGCCGTCAGAAGCCTGGGTAGAGCAGTCGTGTTAGTATATTATACAGTAGTGTATGGTGTAAGGCCAGCCCAAGACCGAGCACGGATGCATACCTGTTGGGCGGTCTCGCGTTTCCTGAGAGACGGGTTCTCGAGAGTGCCAATCTTGAAAGGGGTGTCGACGGTAGTCTCGCAGCCGTTAGGAGCAGGCGAGTCGGGAGCAATGCCCTCCTCAACAGCCTGGCCCAGGGCCGTGGCAGCGAGGAGAATGGGAGCGAACAAGGCTGAGGCGCGCATCTTGGACGTTGTGCTGGGGGTATGGGTGGATGGCTGTGCGAGACGTGCTGACCCACAAGTGCGTGTCGGAGAGTCGTATTTGTATTACTCGTTAATAGTAGGGGATTGGTGGGCAAATGTTGTTGGGGGTTGGGATAAGCGTGCTGGAGCTGCGTCGCGTATTATGGATTTGGGGGAAGAATAGTAGAAGAGCAGACGCAACAGAAGAAGGCCTTTTGGGGGGGTGGGAGAGTGGAGAAGAAGAAGAAGAAGAGAAAGAGAAAGAGGCTGGCACATATTTGTCTGGAGCAGCCTCGCGCGTGCCTGCCACCCACCCACACGCAGCAGCCCCGAGTCGGCAGGACTTGGGACCAGCGCAAAGCAAGGCCGATGGGAGCAAAAGCAAGCTGTACCTGCAGATCTGGGCTGGATTGGGGAAAGGCCAACGCGCGGGCTTTTGGCGAGGGGCCCTTGGGTAGATTACATTGTTATCATGGACAAGGTTGGCGCCCGGGGGGCCTGTCGCGCGGGAGAAGCAAGACGGCATGCTCCCATGCGTGTGCAGGTTTCCGCATAGGGGCAATAGCATGGGCATGTTGATAGTCAGGTAGTATGGTGCATCGACGGCGGTGACTGCACGCGCGTACGGACTCGGGATACCAACCTCGTCGCAGTGCGACGATCAGCAAACGGCAGTGGTGGTAGTGCCAACGGGCTAACGGTACTTGCTAGTAGGACAGCACCCAAGTGGCGGGAACGAGGCTTGAGCAGTAGCTAAGGCGGTGGCGGCGGCGGCGGGGGTGCAGGTACCCGTTCGTGGGCAGAAGCGTGGCTTGACCTCCCTCACCTGCCAGGCCAGACCAGACCAGATGAGATCAGACGAGCTCCCGTCAGCTGTGCATGAAACCAGAAAACAAGTTGATAATAAAGTCCATCCATCCATCCATCCATCCATTGCGTCCATGGCCAGACTGGGAAAATAACAATGTCTGATGGTTGATTGCCTTGGTCAAGAATTGCGTTTCGCTAATAGTCCCGCGTCATGCGGCTCAAACAGGAAACAGCAAACAGCAAACAGGAAACACGCGCCTGCCCACCTGCGACACAAAAACACCGCGCCCTCGTCGTCTCCCTCCCTCTTCACCATCCATCCATCCTATTCACCCTCGACTGCCATGTCTTGTTCTATTTATTCCCATCTCCATCCCTACCCATGGCAGCCCTCGTCTCATCGCACGCTTGGGCAATGGCATACGCCCGCAGCTCGCCCGCCCTGGCTCGCACCGCCGGGTCCACGGTTCGATCAAGCTTGTTGAGGTCGACCTTGGCCACCAGCCCAGCCGGCTGTCTGTCCGCGCACACGGCTGCCACGACCTTGCCAAGCTCCTCGGGCGCTCGCATCGCCTCGACCAGCAAGAAACTGTACCATCCCGCCCGGTTCAGCGCTGGCATGTATCGCGCCTGCGACCCTCTGCTGCTCTCGCCAACTCTGACATGCTGGCCGTGTGTCACTCTGTCAAAGTTCCAAATCGGCGTCAGTGCACCCTCGCACGGCACCATGACGTGCGGGATGCCTTCTATGCTCCACATCTTGGCAAACGCCCCGTATGATTGATGCGCAAATAACCCTGCCCTTGACATTAGTCCTTATCATGCCCAGGAGCTTGTTGGCTTGGATTCTCATTGTACTCACGCTTTTCGTCCTCATTTAACCTCAGCACACAACTCCCCATCAACTTTGACCCCTCCACCAGGCCCGTGTTCCTAGGCTCAAACTGCCTGTCCAATGCATCGAAAAGCAAGTCGGCCAAGGCGTAGAATTCATCCGTCGCCCTTTCCGTCGCTGGGTCGGCAAGCTTCCATGTGCCAGCCTGCGGCACCTCGCTTGCCCTCAAACTCGGCCCATGTCCATTGTCTTTGGCCGGCTTCGCTGAACCAAGGCTGAGGCTTCCCAGATCCGCGGGCAGTTCTACAGCAAATGTTGGCGGCGCAAAGTATGGTGCAGCTTGGTGATGTGACGGTGGGGGAGGTACCGCGTTCCCCTGTTGTGTTGGCGACGGACTGGTCGAGTGATGTGGTGCCGAAACATGAACTGGGCTATATGGCTTAGGAGCCGCCGACATGCCATTCCAATGCTGCTCTGGACTGACTGGACTGATTGGAGAAGCTACATGTTGCAAGGGATGCATAGGCTGCTGTTGAGGCCTAGGCGAATGTGTTGTCGGGATTGAGCTCACCCATTGTGCTTGTGGAGATTGTCCAGCCATATGCGGAGGTGTATTCGCAGCATGGTTTGCTATGCCCCCAACATGACTTGGCGTGCCTGCAATCACTCCGCTCTCTTGTACTGCATAGCAGCCTGGTAATTCCTGCACAGGTGGCGAATACTGACTGTGCCCTACTTGGCCGTGTCCGTGTTGCTGTGCATAGCCCGGCGTAGTAGCTGATGGCGGCGGCGTATACGATTGCGAAACAGGCGCTTGCTGCGTCTGCTGTGGCGAGTAGCCAGCATGTCCCGAGTGTCCTGGAGTCGACGTGAAATAACTCGATTGCTGATATGGACTCGATACCTGAGGATGCGGTGGTGGAGAAGGACGATGCCCCTGGCCCCACTGTTGCTGTTGCTGTTGCTGTTGCTGCACCTGACCCCACTGCTGTTGTTGCGGCTGTGGACTAGTAGTATTAGCAGCAGCAGCAGCAGCAACCTGACCCTGACTTTGCTGCTGTTGCTGCTGCTGCTGCTGCTGTCCATGATGACCCTGATAACCCTGCGCACTCTGCACCACATGCACAGTAGGCTTACTATTCCCCAACAACGAACTCATACTCTTGCCCAGTTTATTCAGCATCGGCTTCCCATTCGTCAAATGCTGATTCACCATTTGTCCGATTATGCCCCCAGACTTCTGGGCATAATAGCTTGTTCCTCCTTCGTACTTGGCTGCATGGGGAGGTTGGTACGGTGGGGGCTGTTGCTGATGTTGCTGATGCGGCGTTGGAGGAGTGTAGCTCCCGTACTGAGACATTGGCCTTGGTGTTGTATAAGATATATATATATATATATATGTGTGTGTGTAGTACTGTGAGGGTATGTACACAAGTCGGAACTTTTTGATGGGGCGGTCTGAGTGACAACGCCCCCTCCCCTCTCTGTCTCTGTCC